AAATAAAGTCATAATATTACAACATTAAAGTCTTATAAAAATAAAGTCATAATATTACGTGATTAAAGTCATAATATTATGAGTTTAAAGTCATAATATTAAAGTCATAATACTGTAGCCTTTACACGAAAAAGCATGCAGTTACCACTGCATTAAAATGAGGAATGTTGAGCAACTTGTCAATTTGTTCTTTAGTATTGCTATAAATAAATAGTTATTCTTTTAGCACATTAGCATCAAATTATCAGTAGCAGGACTTGGAAATTGTGCAAACGACTATAAACTGAAGCCATATTGTAATTAATGGATGCATTGACAGATTAGTCGTCACGTAGCTAATTTGGATGAAAGCATATTAATCTAACAGTGACCCAAGTCATCACAGACTACTTTATAAACATACACACATGGCTGTATACAGCAGGTGTGAGGAAAATAAGGAGGAAATGAGGAACAGGAAACAGACACGTCATGATTATGACTTTTTTCTCGTAATATTACGGCTTTAATCTCGTAAAATTAAGACTTTAATAATATTACGACTTTAATCTCGTACTTATGACTTTATTCTCGTACTATTATGACTTTATTCTCATAAAATTATGACTTTAATCTCCTAATAATAATTTCAAAATCTCATTGTGTGGCCCCTAATACTCCGTCGTACAATAACATTTGTTACCTCTGGAATTTTGGATTATGTTAAAAGTTGGTAAATATTTCCAGTTGGTAAAGATGTGGGCTTTGATAAAACCCTGGGGATTGAATATGAGCACAGCCCCAATTTAAATCCAAGTGTTGAGTCACTGAAGAGAAATGTACTCTATGGCATGGATTTCTGCACTGAATAGTCTCTCAAACATCATCTTCTTTTACAAACTTATAACAGAGTCGTGAATCTCAACAGGACTCCAATCCTTATTCAACCAGGGTGGCTGGAAATCAAGCAGCCAGCAAAGGTAAGTTCTGCATTTTCTTTTTGATTTGACCATTTTAGTCGAGAACTTATTCTCATTTTCAATGACGAACTGTCCAAATGGCAGCAAATACAGAAATAAGGAGCTAAGTAAGTAAAGTATAAAAATGAACAACTGACAAGCAAACATCAAATCATACAGACCAAAGGTACGGATAACAAGATAGGTAGAACAGCAAAAAGTGAAAAGGACATGACTTAAAAGTTCAGTGAGAGTGTCGTTTCATAATCATTGAAAGTTTTTAAAGAGAATGGGATGAAAGAAATGAGCTTTAGAGTCTGTTGTAATCACTAGCAGCAAACGAGTGGGAGGTCAAAGAAAGAGCATGTTTTAGGGATTGTATAGCTGCTGGAATGGAGAGTATGAATATTGCTCTGAATGTTGAGTAATGAATGGAGGCAGGATGGGGTTTTATAAATCAGCAGCAACCAGTGCGTTTGTCTGTGGGAGTGAAGAGAAGGCCAGTTCACCGGGAAATACAGGTTGCAGTGAGGAGTGCTGAAGGCTTTGATTTGGTGACAAATCGAACGGCTGCATGGTGAAGAGTGTTTCTTTGTGTTGGAGGATTTTGGAAGCAGCTCTGTAGATGATGTCGCCACAGTTGAAGTTTGGAAGGACTGTCATTTTTATCAAAAGTTACGTCAGGTTGAAGTTGGAGAGCAGAGTGGGGATGTGAGCAGTCCAATGAGCAGATTTTCTAAGTGCGTATGGGTTGAGGAAGATTTTTATTGAAAAAACATGCTTTTTTATGTGTTTTTAGATGAAGATCAGGGAAGCTTGATGTTATTAAAACTAATTTGCAGTGTGGACAGCGGGGTGCTGAAAGTATAGATACTAGTGTCATCAGCATAATACAAATTAATGTGAATCTGAGTTGTTGTTTTTTTACAGAATTGGTTTCATAATTGATGTAGATCATGTGTCAAATTCAAGGCCCATGGGCCACATTTGGCCTGCAGGTGACTTCCGGCTGGCCGGCCAAAAGGGCAATGTTTTGAGGAGCCGCCATGAAGCATGTGTGGCCCTCGATGAAAATGAATTTGACACTCCTGATGTAGATGGTAAAAATAGCTGGACCAAGTATGGAGTCTTTAACACCTATGTGTACGGTTAGCAGGTCAGAGAGATGACCCTCTGTCCTCACTGATAATGTAGTGTGCACCCAGAACAGTAGCTACTAAACTAAGCTGCACAACTCTTCTCATCTCTTAACCTTCCCAGCAAGACTGAGTGATCTACAGCAGTGGTTCCCAAACTTTTTGTCTTCTGACCCACAAACTATCCATGGCAAAAACTTCTGACCCCAAATATTACTGGTCTGAGTACATGAACTTTGTTAATAACCCTAAAAACACAGGCTTTTTGACAATCTAACCAGCTTATACACAAATATAAACACTTATTTTTACTTATTTTGTGTTTTTGTAATAATTATAGGGAAAATATTACATCAGCAATTATTTTGTTACCC